GAAAATACAAGGGTTCCGGACAGGCATCCGGAAAGGGGTTCCGGACCGGTCCGGATATTCCGGAATATTCCGGGTTTCCGGAAGTCTGGATGTCGCCGGGAAGTCCGGGGTCCGGGGTCCGGATTCGGTCCGGAGTCCGGTCCAGCGTAGCTATGATTTAAATTAACTAGTGTAAACACTGTAAAGATGCTCACCATTCGAAGGGCTGTCCCTCGTGGAATTTTCTCCTTCTCAATGAACCTGTTGAAGTCCGATGGTACACAGCACAACCAGGGACACAGCAGATTTTTCGCTTAAAGGTAGAACAAATCAAGCACTGTTTTCTCATCGCATACTAATCAATGCATTCCAGCTAAACTGCCGAGCCACTGACTCCAAAGATCACCGATGAGAGGGACGGGACAACAACAATGCACACCGGAAGCTTCGAGACAGGGCTGACTCGACGCTCGAATCAAGCAGCCTGACAAAGCAAAGACCAACCCACCATGTGAAAGGAGGGGCAGGAGGACACACATGGAAGAGCCTCCCCCTGATCATATACAGACTACGCTTGAAGAACAAGCAGAAAAGAAGGAGAAGAAGGAGAAGCTTCTTCGTCTTCGTCTTCAGCTTCGTCTTCTCACAGATTGCACGGCGCACCTTCAGCATGCCTGTATCCGACGCGAAATATAGCTAATCATAGCTCGTATGAATTCATGATGAGTGTGTGTTGATGGGGAAGAGAGTAGTCCTATGGTTGAGCAATAGCATGTGCACAGAGCTTGCAGAGTGACAATTTATTATGAGGCAAACTGAAGATCCACTATTCAATGCAAGCTACAGGGTCGGGACGACACCAATACCGACCCCCTCCACGAGTCTTATGACCTAAACATCCCAATAGCCCTCTGAACAGTCAGGTGTGTACTCAGTGGATGCTGGAAACCTGGGTGTTTGTCCGGATAAACAGAAGCTTACATTTCCAGAAATGTCCATTCCACGCGCGCCCGCCCCCAAAACCGAAAAAAAAAAGAAGGAAACACTCAGGAAAAAACTTCAAAAAAGTTGTCTTAGAAGTTAGAATTGCATACAAGCCTACAAGGTCATCACCAAGACAAACATTTTCCAAACTCCAAACTCATAACAGAAACTCAGAGCAAGGATTGACAGATTGAGAGGGGTAAATAAAAATAACAATAGTAAAGTTAAGTAAACTACTTTAACAGTTGAACTACATAGAAAAGTTTAAAAGACCACCTTCATCCAGATCATACTTGCGGCGCATTCCGTGCGCGGGGGTGCGGCACATGCGGCGCAGAGCGGACGCGCATGCACGCGCGCGCACGTGATGCGGCGCATTACAAAAAAATAATAATAAAAAATTGAAAGTTCAGGGTGGGGTGGCCAAACATTGCCCTCGCTTCTAAAAATCGGAAAGCAAGAGGGAGAAAAGTCGGGGCCATGCCATACCCTAAAAGTGTGGGCACATGTCTACGCACTGTGTCCAGCCTCTTTTCTGAAGGGCCCCTACAGCAAATTAGCTAGGACCCCACGTGCAGCAGAGGTGCACTTCAAACTTCCACTGTAAGCGCGGGCAGATAATACATAGTCTGGATTCGAATTCAGGTCTGTGCATCTCGGTTATGGGTCACTCTCTTTTTTCTCGTTTTTCTTTTCTTAGCAATACGTGCAGTTGCCCTAAGGGCCTCTACTCACCACATGCACAAAAGACAAAACATATGGCGGCGTATTATTCCACGTCATGCAGAAGATTCTTTCTAATTTTGCATATTCTGTGAGTAGTGCAGCCAAGCCCTGAGAATCACGTGCAGAGACCAACAGGGCCTAGCTACGTGAGCAACCCATAACCGCTGAAATACAGACCTGAATTCGAATCCTGAGTATATATTCGGCCAGCTCGTGCTCTACTTCATACTCACTGCCTGCCGGGATTTTGGTGGAGGGTCTGCGCTATATTGCTGCGAGGACCCTCCAGATTGCCTGCATGGGCCCTCTGAGCCGTGTTAAGGGGATCCGCTGCTCTCTCTCTCTCTCTCTCTCTCTCTCTCTCTCTCTCTCTCTCTCTCTCTCCCGTATACACGCACACCCCTAAAAAAAAATAAAAAAAATAAAAAATAAAAAAAAATGAGCGCATCAGTGCAGCATCACTAGTTTGCGCATGGCGCATGGCGCATGCGCACTGGACGGCACACTGCAAGTATGATCCAGATCAAACTCACCAGGTTCACACTCCAACCAGAGCAAGGCTTGACAGATTGAGAGCTCTTTCTTGATTCTATGGGTGGTGGTGCATGGTCATTCTGAGTTCGGAATTGGAATTGGAAAAAAAGATAAAAAATAAAAAAATCTTTAAAAATGCACATGCAGATGGTGTCTGGATAAGTTGAACTACAGTGTCTCCATAACCCAGCATCTCTCTCTCTCTCTTTATTATTATTATTTTTTATTTTTTTTTCCCCATGACCCAGCATCTGGTTCTGGAATCTGGCATAACTGGATTTTTCTTCTTTGTATTTTAACCAGGCTTTTATGGTCACATGGTGACATGGGACCAATCGGGATTATTTTCAATATATTTTGCACCTCTGTACTGCACAACGTGCACATTAAGTCGTTAAAATTTCATCACCCTCCTTTTTGCCTCTGTTATAAGATTATTTGCATACAGTCAGAGTCCCACATAGTTCCTAAACAGTACCGGTACCTGAGAAGCACATCGAGTCGATCTTGAACATCAATATGCCGCTGGCTGCATTCCAACGGGCACACGTAAAGACAATCACACACATGCAAGCAAAAGAACCAACGAACAAATAAGTCTCTGCCACATCCTTATAGAATAGCATAGTCTCTATAAAGTGTCTATAGACTGTCTATAGGACTCTATAGATCTATTTTTATTCAGATGGACGTAGGTTCTGGAGCTCGAGTAAACCCAATATGATGGGCTGTGGCAGAACTGGTCTTCCTCTTCATGATTGATTTTGCGAATGACCGACTCACTGTCATAACTGCCCATTCAGAACCTTTACCCCCATTAAAAAAAAAAAAGCATTGTCATTCAAGCTTCAAACCATATCAGCAGTCTCGCAGAGGACACATCCTCGGGAAAAAAAAAAAAATCAGAGGACACATCCACGGTGATCCACTCCCCATGTCTGTGTCCTCCTCTGCTCCCGCTCCCTGGAATGTGTCCCCACCAGCGATATAGATTAAAAAGAAAAGAAAACATCTGGCATTCTCCCCCTCCTATTCCCTCCAATCCCCATCCCTCTCCCTGTAAATTCACCTCTTGAATCTTGATCGAAGCAGCGGGGAGAAAGTAAGCGAGTGACCGAGGCTGAGGGCATACTCACACTGGGCAAGCAAAATCGTAGCGTCGCAAAATCAGCAGCCTGATCGAGCCGTTCTGAAAGGAGGACTCTATCTGGCCGCTCATTTTGCGATTCTGCGATTCTAAGAAGAGGGATTCTGACATTGATTCTTGTTCTGCCATTCATCATTATTATTATGATGATATTATCATTTAATCAGAAAAGGGACGAGGAGTCTGGTTGGCGAGGAGAAGGGGAATTATCATTGGTCTTTTGCTGGTGTACATTTTCTTCTTCTTCTTCTTCTTCTTTCCCTCTCTCTCCTCTCCAGTTCATTAATTTCTTTTCACAATTGGACGGCATTGTACTTTCTCGTGATTTTGCACTTCGAAATTGGCCAGGATCATAACACAATGCAAAGGGTCGATACATCAGAATAAGGTCAACCAGTTCAAACAACACTAATCACAGACTATATAGGAGTGCAGCACCAGGGATTTAACTTGTGAAATGTGGCATATGAACCAGTAAGAAAAGAAACGTGAACTTGGCCAAAAGAACATCCAGGCATTGGTGAGTGGCCCGGCTGTGATCCATCCAATCATTAAGATACATATTAGGGCTTGCGTTAAAGGAGGCAGTGCACCCCGCAAAGATGCTTCGCTGAAGCATTTACAAATTTGCATTAGATTACATACGAAAGAAAAAAGCAGATTAGAACAGACCAAACAGCAGCGGTCAAAACTTTCACCAAAAGAGAATCAATGATTGAGATTATGCTTGTTTCAGAGAAAGCAACTTGCAAAGTTGGTGATCACCTTCGTTCAAAAATGATGGTTGTGATGTGAGCAATGATGAATCCGAGCAAAATTGAACAGGCGATGCCATTCAGAATACCAAATAGACGTTCAGCGACCGTCACTGAAGGGTGAATATCTCCATAGCCAACCTGCACTCCAAACACAAAAAAAATCACATCAACTGAAGATTCTGAGAGAGAGAGAGAGAGAGATGCAATCCGGACACAAACAATCCCATCAACTGAAGAGTCTAAGAGAGAGAGAGAGAGAGAGAGAGAGAGA